TCAACGAGTATCTGCACATCACAATCGAGCATCAATTATGAAAGTCGACTCACGTCCCAGATATCGCGAAGAAAGTTCGGAAGCGGTTCAACGTGCATATTCAAGCCGGTGAACCAGCGTTTACGGACTTTCCATTCGTCAAGATTCGGATTCTAGGATTTTTCTTCCGGTGCATCGACTAACCGGAAACTTCTGCCTGCATCACGATCCGACGCAGCAATCGTAGCAATTTCGCGCTTGTATCGCGCTGCGCGTTGTACCGCGTCGTCTCATCGCATCATCATTGCTTACGAACTATTCTTATTACTCACGCTGTATAACTGAACGAAATGTTCTGAGAGTGTAAACGAGCAAATGAGAATTCATATTTTAACGATTAAATAAAAGAGAGTCTCTTAGAGCTTTCAGTTTTCTAAACTTATCTTTACATTTTATCGTGGATCAAATTCTAGATTAATTTAGACTTGTCAGTTTGAATGTGCATCCCGGATGACTCATCAAATAAATTCATTAAAAGTAGAACCTGATTCTACTTCGTTCACTAGTCACTTTGGATGAAATGCAGATGAAAACATCTTTACACCTTTCACTGTGGATGAATCATCCAGGATGCACATCCAACAGTCTAAATTCATCTTTACTATCTCCATCCGCTTTCCTCTATTTTGGTCGATAAAAACTTATGCAGAATCTCAGGTACTCTAATTAATGAGTTATATAGCAAAATATTTTTTCAGATTTTTGCGATGCTAAATTCCAATCTAAAAGACTCACGACTTTACTCATGTTTCATTGGAATTATTCTATAAATGATTTGGGATATTTTTATGGATAATAAATGTTTGGAAGTATTCTGAGACTTATAAACGTGGGTGTACAATTTATGCAATCACGCGTGCGTTTTCATAATGATACGCAACGGTGGCACGATACGAGGGTATGCTACAAGTGGATACGCAGCTCTCCACAGATTCGGTATACCCTGAGAGCCGACTTCGGCGTTACTCGGCCACAATCGCAGACGATGCATCGATTTTTCCTTCATCCACTTCCACTGCAGCCCACAGTGCATCGCCTTTGCACCGTAACCGCGTTGACATTTGCTGACTTTCTTTCTACGATCTATCCTTCGACGAAATCATGACAATTCCTTCGATGCTTTTTTCATTCCGTGACAAAAATTTAATAAAAAATCCATATAACGGAATGATAAGATACATAGAAAAATTAGAAGGTCACGATTTTAAGGATGTATTGG